TAGAGCAGTGTTTTTCCGATCGACGGAATTTAGATTGTATAACGCAAGAATTAACTAGAACTACCCCGTATAAAAATGAAAACTTAATAGATTTTGGCACGAGACTACAATTATTACGTAGCAGTGCAGTACAGAGAATAAGTAATGATATAAATCTTAACGCGCAAGAAAAACTTTGTCAAATAAATCATTGCGATAAAACAGCCCTAAACACTTTTATTGCAGGTTGCACAGGTGTATTAAAGAATAATATGCATTTAAAACAACCAGCATCACTAGAAGATGCTATGGATTACGTAACCGATTACGAAAATTTCGGAAAATTACACAGCAACACAAATGACCAACACAATTTTTCAAAAAATAATTTTCAAAAAACTAATTTTAAAAATATCAATAATAATAATAATTTTGTTCCAAAACAATTTAATAATAATTTTCAACCAAATCAATATCATCAAAATGTTAATCAGCCAATACAAAGGCAATACCAAGATTTTCAATTACAACCACAAAATTTTCGACCAGTTTGGTCTAGTCAACCTATTAATGTCCAACCACGTCAGGTAAATAGAAATTATCCTACAAATGCTCAAGTTTTTGGACCTCCCCGTAACGTTTTTAAACCCAAACAAATACCCCAAAATCAACTTCCCAAACCTGAGCCAATGTCGACAACATCGAGAAACCCCTTGATGTACAATAGAAAGCAGTTTAATCCGAATTATAGATTTAATAATAACAATAATAACAGAAGATTTAATTATTTCCAAAATAACAGTAATCAAAAACCTAACTTTACTTCTGAAGAATTATTTGTTAATAATTATGACAATCAAAATACAGACAATTTTGATTATCGCCCAAACTTAAATAAAAATAATGAAGAAGATGAAACTCAAATCGATGAGTATTCCCAAAATGCAAATTTTCGAATAAATGCCTCGAACAAGGAAATGACTTAGTAGAATTTAATCTCATTTCAAACAATCCACTCCCATATATAGAAATAGAAAATCCCAAATTAAAATTATTAATAGACACGGGCAGTACCAAATCAATTTTAAAACCCTCTATTATGGAAAAATATTACCCCGATTGTATTTATCAATCAAATGTTTTTCTTTCTACTTCCCTTGGTAGTCAAAATATCAGGTATCAAGCCGAGATACCAGCTTTCCAAGAATTTAATGATAATCACTATATTAACTTCCTTTTGTATGACTTCCACGAATTTTATGATGGAGTCATTGGCCTTAATGATTTATTAGTGATGAATTAGTGATCATGATATAATACCAATAAAATACAGAAAATCCAATGAAATAAAATTTGAAATTTGCATAGGTCCAAGTGAAAAATTATTGAAAAAATTACCTGTCAGTATTTCAGACGGTGATATTTTAGTAAATAAAATAAAATTAGGCGAAATTCATATACCTGAAACATTAACTTTTGCGGAAAACGGGTTTGCTGCACTCGAAATAATAAACCAAACAGATAAAAATATTTGTGTTACGCTAAATGAACCAATACCAGCTACCCCTTTTAATTCATTCAATCATGAAATTTATAAATAAACTTGAATGTTTTAATTCTCCCCAACCAAATATATTCATGTATAACTAAATAGGATTACTGCCATTATAGTTAAATAAATAAATAAATATATAATTGAAATATTACTGAATAAATTGAATTAAAATAAAATTGAATTTAATTATTTTAATAAATTCACTGAGAGTTTCAATTTAGTATCAGATATCTTATTGATTTTATTTCAAATAAAAAATAGCTGACAATATTTTGAAGGGATGCGACCATCAATGGAAGCTTCGCTACTGGTACCTAACGTTTGGTGGTTTCAGAAAACTACAATTTGTTACTAGAAGAGATAAAAATTTGCACAAAATACCATTATCGGTGCATATATTCGTAAACTTATTCTCCAAGTTGAATATACCAGAAAGTGAACACTATAATACAGCAAATGTTGTAAGCAAAACTGTCTAAAATTATAAAAATCCCTGAAACAACACTGTTAATAAAGAACTGATGTAATGGCGATTGCGTCTTCTTCATTAGTAAATTCTAGTTCCATTATTGCCAGTACCCTAGCGTTGCTAATATCACAGTTTAAAGAATATTATATTCTTTAAACTGTGCTAATATCTAAGAAAAGTGGATACTCGGTTTGACCCGACTGTTCAGATTCTCTGAACAGAGTAAAATAATCATTTTTCCACTTATTTCCCACTTGTGTTTTTATTTTCAAAACAGTACTCATGGTGACATCTACCTAGCAAAGAAGAGGGTGCATCTGGTCAAATTATCGATTTTAGAATTTCAGAACCTTTAACTTTGGGTACGACGGACGAAGGGTTCAGGTGGTCGGCCATTCTGTTTTTACTTAGCATCTGTAAACAAGCTAATTCACGCGATTTAAATATTCGCTTTACTCTTATTTACAATTGCAATGGTAATGATTGTTTCGTAACCCAGTGTTTGTTAATATTTTTGTAACCTAACATGTATTTGTGACCAGGTTTGGATTTATAAAACTGTGTAAAACATTATTTAATAAACGCATGTAAATACAAAAACAGTGCCGTCGCATTTTATTGTGTAACTAAGTTGTGACTCCTCGTCCGACATAATTGGGTCTGAATTCTATGGAGAAGTACCCCATTTTTGGTTAAACCATTTTAAAAGGTTTACTTCCTGTAAGAGCGTCACTGTAAGGGGTTTTCTCGCCACAGATAAAACGGTTCCTTACGAATGGCGCTGGTTACGGGCGGTTCTCGAGCGCCAGATTTTTGGTTATGGTTTACCCCACAAACTCTCGAAACGGCGTCGAAAGTACTTGGGTAGCTACAGATGGAGATGAAAAATTCCAGGGGCCAAAGGTCACTTAGACACATAATAGTAGACCACAAGTAACGGGCTTTAATTGTTGCTTGGGCTGGTACAGAATTTATCACTAGCTGAAATACAAGAATTAATAACCAGTAATACGGCAAGTTAACATTGACACATATATTGTTTTAAACTATTTACAACAACAACAACAAAAAAAAGAAATAAATTAATATATTTCAACGCCCACCCTCACGGTAATATGTACAAACCCTGAACAAAAATAAACAAACAAGACGGCCGGAAATGACTTCCGAATAGCCTCAATCAGACGTAAAAAAAATGAAATCAATAATTGTAGTAATCACGGTTACAGCAAAAGTTTATTATTGAACTATTTATTCGGTTGTTGAGCTAAAAATGTAACTTGCTATTTCGTTCGAAAGTATTAATTCAGTCATAGCAAAAATTTACTATCAGACTATTTTTACGGACGCAGGAAAAATTAACTATTTAACAGTTTAATCGTTAAACAAACTAAAAATGCAATTTATTATTTTTCTACAGAAAGTAATATTTACGGTCGTAGGAAAAATTAATTGTTGAATTGTCTAATCGGTATTTACAATCAAATGTAATTGAATGCTTCTACATAGCAAAATTTCATATGCGGTTGCAGAGAATGCGAGGAGACAGGTTCGGGACAGTACTAATTCCAGGGCTAAAACCGGGACTCTATAAGAAGTTTACTCAAACTAGTGGTTGGAAAGTAAAACCAACTAACAACCGGGATAGTGCATTATCTCTGAATGAAGTGATCGTAATCACGAGCCGCTTTAGACAGGGGAATGATACTATTTAAATTCACTTAATATAACGGATACTTAGGTAAATGAGGGTTTCAGACTTAAAATAAACTAATAACCGGGATAGCACATTATCTCTGAATGAAGTGATCGTAATCACGAGCCGCTTCAGACAGGGGAATGATACTATTTCAGTTCTCTTTAAATAACGGAGACTTACGCAAATGAATGTTTCAGATGTAAAATAAACTAATAACCGAGATAGCAGATTATCTCTGAATGAAGTGATCGTAATCACGAGCTGATTCAGACAGGGGAATGATGCTATTTAAGTTCTCTTAAAATTTGCGGTTTGGAGGATAAAACAAAAGAAAATGTCTCGTCGCAATTATATTAAGATAACCAATCAAAATATTAGACAATTCCCAAACAGTTCCGACCAATTATTTATTGGATAAAGCTTTAAATAAACTAAAATGAAATTTACGATTTGTCCTTGGAAATTTACAGTAGTAGGAAAAATTAACTATACGACTATATTTACGATCGAATGAAAAATAAATTATTTAACAGTTAAAACCTTAAATAAACTAAAATCCAAAAGAACGGTGTTTTCTAACAAGAATAAATTTAAGTATTTATTAATCAAAATAAATTTTAATTCTTAACTCAACACGGAATATTGTTAATTAAAAATAAATCAAAATAAATCGGTTTCAAATAGCACGGCTTAAATACTCGAGCGAAAAAAAATCAATTATTAAAAACAATGACAACAATTTACCTATCGTCAAGATCGCGGCTAGAAATATATTTCGGTTTTGATTGTCTCTCGCGAGCAATATCGGAATCGTATCAGAGTAATTTAATTATTCGCCTATTCAATACAACGGTGTAAAAGCAAGTATCTTAGAAACTGTTCGATAAATCAGTGTATTAGGAACTAAAAATTTTAATTGAATTCGGATCTCGTTTAGTCGTCGAAAACCCTTCTACTACCAGAGACCCCACCAACGGCAGTATCACCGCGCATCGATATGTCGATCGGCGATGCGCATCTGTCTTAGAACAGGACCAAGATTTCAATCGCGTTTAATATTTATTATCCTCAGATAAGAGAGTGAGAGAAAATGAGTTGATTAGAAAATTACTAAATTAAAATGACCCTTATTTTTCGTGCTGGTCGAATAACGGTAAAGGTGTTGTATGGATAAAGAAATATGATCTTTGAGCTAAATAATAACAAAGCGGTAAAATAAATATTAAATGATAAATCTATCATATAACCTACGATTATTTTTTTCGAAAATAATACAAGAAAAGATTATGGTAACTTACAATTGTCAGTTCCGATAAACCATTTGGCCAAATTTCGTCAGCTACTTTTTGATACGGATCATTTTTGTAAAACTTCATCGGTCCTCTGGATCCATGACGGTATAACTAAAAAGAATATATTAAGTATTTACGTTTAAGAACAATATGAGAATATAAGAAAAAATAATTATTTATGAAATGTATTAAAAATTTTATTCTAAACTTCATAAAGTGAACGTTTATTTATATTTATATTTAATTAAGCAATATTTGTCAATATTAGTTATACTATGGTTGATGATCTCCTGTTTCCTGATTTATTTGCAATGCTTGTTTGGCCAATTAAAATATTTGATATTTTTTTAGGCGAATCTTGAACATACCTAGTTATTTAACGAACAAGACAACTGTTTATGATACATAATTTGCTGTGTGAAACAGTTGATTACGCTGGAATTCCATACAAGATTTTTTCTACGATAACATTCTTATAAGAAATCGCAAATTAAAAAAAAAAAAAACATGAAAGAGAAGTTAATATTTGAAAGTTAATATTGAATAGATAATGAAACAAAAAATTGAGACAGTGTATTTAATATGCAAAACATTTAACGATTCCATAACAATACGAGTTTAGATACAAATTAAGTTCTTTAAATTCTTTTACTGTAAATTTCTATTCACTATTATTGCGCATGAACAACTGCTTAAACTATCAACTGAAATTTCACTTGAAGTATATTCCCTAAAATATATTACCTACCTTCTAATCATCAGCCTACCTAGTGGGTAGGTAATATTTAAACTAGGATTTAATTTCTCTTAAAAGATCTCCATGTTGTGAAAATACAGGGTGGCGCAAAATGAACGTTATGATTTGAAGGCTTTACAACTTTTTTATTTATAAATTTATTTTCTCTTTTGTTTCAGAAATTTGTAAAGAAGTCCTGGGGAATTTAAAATGGAGCAATACACCATAGAACAAAGGACAAAAATTATCGAATTTTATTTTTCAAACGAAAAGTCAGTTATTCTGACGCAGCGTGCGTATCGCCGACATTTTAATGTGCGGGTTGGACCCCCAGCGCCAAATTTTTTTCTTTGAGGCTATTTGAAAGAAAAAGTCTACGTTAACATGTCACAAACCATCCCTCAACTAAAGGATAACATTCGCAATGAAATCCGTGTCATAACACCTGAGATCTTGCGAAAAGTCATGGAACATGTGTTGGAAAGAGCACGACTTTGTGAAGCAGAAAATGGGCGACATTTGCGAGACGTAGTTTTTCACGCTTAGGCTAAAATTATTTCCCTTTTATAGGCTAGATTTTCATAGAACAATGTTGAAAATTTATTTAAAAATAAAAAGTTACAAAGCATTTAAGTCATAACGTTCATTTTGCGCCACCCTGTATAGTAGGTATACATTAATTTTAATTTATTAACATTATTTTTGTGTCTGCAACTATGTTCAAATATATACAGATTTGGCAAACATTTTTCTTGGGTAGATGGCAACAACAAAAAGACTATTCATCTGAAGCGATGATGAGGGACAGAAATCGGAAGTAGGACATTGGCAATCCCACTATCTTCGTGACGCCAACCGATCTCACCTGTTAACTCCGACTGCGAATCAAACAAAATAAGTCTAGATTAGGTGGTGCGTGAAGGTAAAACAATAGATTCTGATTTTCGTTTTAAAATAGCCAGTTATTAACATGCCGAATTTTTATGGTATTATGGGGAACATTCGGTTCAAAATATAATAAATTTATTTATAGTTGCATCTAAAAATAGGCAAATTCCTGCGAATAATGCAGTTCGTGCAATTATTGCAAAATTTGATCATTTTGGCTGCGTTAATAATTGCAAAAAGTGTTGTTTCTCTAGGTAACCACGTTTAAATCAATTAACGTCGCCATTCATGGTCATTAATAATTTTTTTATGACATTTTTTGTTGACTTTATTTTTTTGAAAATATCAGGAAGGGGACAAGAAAGGTGTTACGAGTGGGCCCCCAAAAAACTCGGCATGGAAAGAAGAAATCAAAATATTAATTTTTTAAAAAATATTTTATTTACATTTAAGTCTTCTTTCACTCTCCATAGAAAACATAATCAATCCCTTTTACCCTCTTAGTCGCAGGAGAATAAACACTTAAGTATAGCTGTTGCCACATAAAAACTAAATGTCTGGGCGGGTAACCTTGGAGAATAATGTTATCTGTCCTTTTTTTATTCAGGGTAATTTTAATGCCCAAAAGTACTTAAAACTACTTGAAAAATTATTCCTGCCTTTAGAAACCTTTAGACGGATGTACATTACATAATGCACAGACAGTAACTACCTAACTAAATAAGCAATTTCCCAATCGACTTATTGGTATCAGAGGCACTATAAAAATGGCCACCACGGTCGCCAGACTTAGCGCTGCTTGATTTTTACTTTCCTATCTGTATACAGATAAGAAAAGTATAGAAATCATGATATTTTTGTCGGATTTTTTTTGTTTTCGGGGCCCCTGAATCCGTTTTGACTATTTTCGCAATGATGTATGTGTGTGTTTGGGTGCGTTCCTGTATGCGTGCGTGTTGGTACAAGCTGCATGCTACGTGGCGTGCGTGTCTGTATGTGGAAGCGAGATGCGTGCGTGCGCGTGTGTGCGCGCGTGTGTGCGTGCACGTATGTGTGAGTATGAGTGAGTGCGCGTGTGTGTACATGGGTGTGCGTGTGGGTACGTGTGCGTGTGTGTGCATGTGCGTGTGTATACGTGTGTGTGCGCGTGCTTGTGTGCATGTGAGTGCGTGTGTGCGTGTTTGCATGTGCGTGCGTGTTTGTTTGTGTGAGAGCGCGCTAGTGTGTAGGTGCGTGCAAGCGTGTGTGTGTTGTGTGTGTGTTGTGTGTGTGTGTGTGTGTGTGTGTGTGTGTGTGTGTGTGTGTGTGTGTGTGTTGTGTGTGTGTTGTGTGTGTTGTGTGTGTTGTGTGTGTTGTGTGTGTTGTGTGTGTTGTGTGTGTGTATTGTGTGTGTTGTGTGTGTGTTGTGTGTGTGTTGTGTGTGTGTGTTGTGTGTGTGTTGTGAGTGTGTGTGCTTTAGAGTAAGAGATGATGGGGGATTTTTCAGAACATGGGTTGCCGCTGAAAGCAGTTAAACAACAACTCCGTTTTTAAATATTATTTTTGGATTAGGGTATTTATTGTTTTACTGAAATAGCTACAGATGCTTATGAACCGGAAACTCCACCAAAAAAGGCTAGGTAGTTTTACTTCAACTTCATTTAAATATAATTCTTGTACATACTTGCATTTAATGTCTTTTATTGTTTTAGTAAAATTTTGAATGTACAGTATCAATGTTAAAGTCAGCATTATATGAGAATATTTTAATTATTTAGTTTGCGCAAAAGATCCCGCACGCCGCTCATGGAAAAGTGGCTACCTGTTAAATATCATACATTTTTTATATGTTGCAGTTCTCGACCTCTTAACCAATAGTATTCATGGGAATATTTAAATCCTATGACTGGTTTTTGAGATACAGGGTGTTAAGAAATATCACTTATTTAATAACGGTTATTTCAGGAGAAAGCTAATCGATCTTGTTTCATTCCACGAATATAAATAGGGGTCAAAAATTATTTTCCTTTACAGGGTGAGCCACAAATAAGAAAGGATATGTTTTTGATAATTACTTTTATTGTTCGAGAATGTGAGAATATTTACTTAAAAATAAATTATTGCTATATTTATGTTTAATGATAATACAAAATATATTAGGTGTCATTTATATAGGGTAATTCGTAAATATCGACATAAGCTAATTAATTTTTTTATAAATATTAATGTGAAACGTAATAGCGTATCAACCATGATTTTTAAGTACTGATTTTTAGGTTCTATTATTAATATACGTATAACTGTCCATTTAATTATATACAGGATGATTTACTAAATAAATTTATAGATTCTTCATCGGACAACATGTTTTTATTATTGTTTTTAATTGCCTAGAGGATGAAATTATATATAAAAAAAATATTTATTACTAGATTTATAGCTTAATTCATAAAAAAATACGTTTCATACGTACGATATGATTAGTAAATGTCGACGCTGGACAATATTTATCAGCGTTAATGGGATTAGCGGTGTTTTATTGATAAATATTTAATGTTCTATAAAGGTATACCTACATATTTCTTTCAGTAAACATAATTCCCCAAAATGTCAGCTTTTTACTGCAATATAAGGCTTTTGAGAAACTGTTGGGAATTTATTTTCTATAGAATGGTTGATACACCAGTAAAAAAATACCTTTAGAGGATTAAAAATACAGTGCAAATTTTCCAATTTTTTTGACACATTCGATAAATTAACTATTAATCTATCATTAAATCACCATGTAATCAATAAATCTGATAGTTACACACATGTTAATATTATAACAAATACTCAAAAGTTAACTACAAATACTGAGTTTCACATAGAAAAACAAAAAAAAAACAGAAACAAAAACAAGTAAAAAACAAAAACAGACGAAAAAATCAAAAACAAGCAAAAACATGAGCTAGAAAAAACCTATTATAGGATTTACTTCTTAATAATGTATTTAGAGAAATTTGTATTTTTCAAATAAAATGTGAACTGTGAAATATTGTAAGGATAGAACTTAAAATTGAATTAACACAAAATAAACTATATTAAAATTAATTAAATATTGACTGGCCAGTTGGTTTTGAAACCAGTGCCAAACAGAAATACACACACACACACACACACACACACACACACACACACACACACACACACACACACACACACACACACACACACACACACACACACACACACACACACACACACACACACACACACACACACACACACACACACACACACACACACACACACACACACACACACACACACACACACACACACACACACACACACACACACACACACACACACACACACACACACACACACATTCATTAAAAAAATATCACCTTCAAGTAATTATCAAAAACATGTCCTTACTTATTTGTGGCTCACCCTGTGAAGGGGACACACACACACACACACACACACACACACACACACACACACACACACACACACACACACACACACACACACACACACACACATTCATTAAAAAAATATCACCTTCAAGTAATTATCAAAAACATGTCCTTACTTATTTGTGGCTCACCCTGTGAAGGGGACACACACACACACACACACACACACACACACACACACACACACACACACACACACACACACACACACACACACACACACACACACACACACACACACACACACACACACACACACACACACACACACACACACACACACACACACACACACACACACACACACACACACACACACACACACACACACACACACACACACACACACACACACACACACACACACACACACACACACACACACACACACACACACACACACACACACACACACACACACACACACACACACACACACACACACACACACACACACACACACACACACACACACACACACACACACACACACACACACACACACACACACACACACACACACACACACACACACACACACACACACACACACACACACACACACACACACACACACACACACACACACACACACACACACACACACACACACACACACACACACACACACACACACACACACACACACACACACACACACACACACACACACACACACACACACACACACACACACACACACACACACACACACACACACACACACACACACACACACACACACACACACACACACACACACACACACACACACACACACACACACACACACACACACACACACACACACACACACACACACACACACACACACACACACACACACACACACACACACACACACACACACACACACACACACACACACACACACACACACAACACACACACGCTTGCACGCACCTACACACTAAATACGAGTAAATACGAGTAAATACGAGTAAATACGAGTAAATACGAGTAAATACGAGTAAATACGAGTAAATACGAGTAAATACGAGTAAATACAAGTAAATACAAGTAAATACGAGTAAATACGAGTAAATGCGAGTAAATACGAGTAAATACGAGTAAATACGAGTAAATACGAGTAAATACGAGTAAATACGAGTAAATACGAGTAAATACGAGTAAATACGAGTAAATACGAGTAAATACGAGTAAATACGAGTAAATACGAGTAAATACGAGTAAATACGAGTAAATACGAGTAAATACGAGTAAATACGAGTAAATACGAGTAAATACGAGTAAATACGAGTAAATACGAGTAAATACGAGTAAATACGAGTAAATACGAGTAAATACGAGTAAATACGAGTAAATACGAGTAAATACGAGTAAATACGAGTAAATACGAGTAAATACGAGTAAATACGAGTAAATACGAGTAAATACGAGTAAATACGAGTAAATACGAGTAAATACGAGTAAATACGAGTAAATACGAGTAAATACGAGTAAATACGAGTAAATACGAGTAAATACGAGTGAATACGAGTGAATACGAGTAAATACGAGTGAATACGAGTAAATACGAGTAAATACGAGTAAATACGAGTAAATACGAGTAAATACGAGTAAATACGAGTAAATACGAGTAAATACGAGTAAATACGAGTAAATACGAGTAAATACGGGTAAATAAAAGTAAATACGAGTAAATACGAGTAAATACGAGTAAATACGAGTAAATACGAGTAAATACGAGTAAATACGAGTAAATACGAGTAAATACGAGTAAATACGAGTAAATACGAGTAAATACGAGTAAATACAAGTAAATACGAGTAAATACGAGTAAATACGAGTAAATACGAGTAAATACGAGTAAATACGAGTAAATACGAGTAAATACGAGTAAATACGAGTAAATACGAGTAAATACGAGTAAATACGAGTAAATACGAGTAAATACGAGTAAATACGAGTAAATACGAGTAAATACGAGTAAATACGAGTAAATACGAGTAAATACGAGTAAATACGAGTAAATACGAGTAAATACGAGTAAATACGAGTAAATACGAGTAAATACGAGTAAATACGAGTAAATTCGAGTAAATTCGAGTAAATTCGAGTAAATACGAGTAAATACGAGTAAATACGAGTAAATACGAGTAAATTCGAGTAAATTCGAGTAAATACGAGTAAATACGAGTAAATAGGAATAAATAGGAATAAATAGGAATAAATAGGAATAAATAGGAATAAATAGGAATAAATAGGAATAAATAGGAATAAATAGGAATAAATAGGAATAAATAGGAATAAATAGGAATAAATAGGAATAAATAGGAATAAATAGGAATAAATAGGAATAAATAGGAATAAATAGGAATAAATAGGAATAAATAGGAATAAATAGGAATAAATAGGAATAAATAGGAATAAATAGGAATAAATAGGAATAAATAGGAATAAATAGGAATAAATAGGAATAAATAGGAATAAATAGGAATAAATAGGAATAAATAGGAATAAATAGGAATAAATAGGAATAAATAGGAATAAATAGGAATAAATAGGAATAAATAGGAATAAATAGGAATAAATAGGAATAAATAGGAATAAATAGGAATAAATAGGAATAAATAGGAATAAATAGGAATAAATAGGAATAAATAGGAATAAATAGGAATAAATAGGAATAAATAGGAATAAATAGGAATAAATAGGAATAAATAGGAATAAATAGGAATAAATAGGAATAAATAGGAATAAATAGGAATAAATAGGAATAAATAGGAATAAATAGGAATAAATAGGAATAAATAGGAATAAATAGGAATAAATAGGAATAAATAGGAATAAATAGGAATAAATAGGAATAAATAGGAATAAATAGGAATAAATAGGAATAAATAGGAATAAATAGGAATAAATAGGAATAAATAGGAATAAATAGGAATAAATAGGAATAAATAGTAATAAATAGGAATAAATAGGAATGAATAGGAATAAATAGGAATAAATAGGAATAAATAGGAATAAATAGGAATAAATAGGAATAAATAGGAATAAATAGGAATAAATAGGAATAAATAGGAATAAATAGGAATAAATAGGAATAAATAGGAATAAATAGGAATAAATAGGAATAAATAGGAATAAATAGGAATAAATAGGAATAAATAGGAATAAATAGGAATAAATAGGAATAAATAGGAATAAATAGGAATAAATAGGAATAAATAGGAATAAATAGGAATAAATAGGAATAAATAGGAATAAATAGGAATAAATAGGAATAAATAGGAATAAATAGGAATAAATAGGAATAAATAGGAATAAATAGGAATAAATAGGAATAAATAGGAATAAATAGGAATAAATAGGAATAAATAGGAATAAATAGGAATAAATAGGAATAAATAGGAATAAATAGGAATAAATAGGAATAAATAGGAATAAATAGGAATAAATAGGAATAAATAGGAATAAATAGGAATAAATAGGAATAAATAGGAATAAATAGGAATAAATAGGAATACATAGGAATAAATAGGAATAAATAGGAATAAATAGAAATAAACACGAATAAATACGAGTAAATACGAATAGTCATGCATTTTTTTTTCATATTAAACACGACTCCACGCGTGCAAAGCCGCGGGCAAGAGTTAGTATTATAATTATAGAAAAAGTATAGTGTGCCACAGAAATTCTTATTTATTTGTACGATTTGCAGTATTCGTCTGGCAAATATCATACTTGTGTGAGCTTTTTTGACGTTTGAGGAAATAGTTTTTTCACCAAGTTAATAAGAATTTGGTCAAAAGAGAGTGTTTTTAACTAAATAGAGTATTAAACTGTTTTAAAATGATTTAAAAAAATTAACGTGATTATCACGCTTACGTGATTGATTGTCCTTCCATTAATGTTCGTTAAATAACAACTATGTATTGCCATTTTTATGTCATCTAGGTACCTACCTACTCACCCCATTACCCGTATTAATCTCTAGTCAAATAATATAGATAAATAGCTAATAATTATTAGGATATTTTTAATTCAAACATGTTATAGAAAAAGTACCATTTAGAACAAAGATGAAATCTATCCAATGTATGCTAAGAATTATAACGATTTAAATATCAAGGCAAGAAAAATTAATATATTTTTAAAAAACTTACCGTTGCAACTGATAACAATTTACTGCTTTCACATTTTGCACAATTAAATAGAAAAAATAATAAAAATAAATTACCGATAATATTGACTTTTAACATAATTTCAATTTAGTCAACGGCCGGCTAATAAACTATCACAATAAAATTTTAATTATGTTTCTATGGCTAAGTGGGTTTAATATAAACTTGTAAATTTTAGGTAAATTATTTTAGAAGTCAAACCGAAAAATCCATTATAATTTATAATACAATTAGTTTAAACCCTGTTTTAATGTAGGTATATGTACATATCAAACATATTTTTGCTTCCAAATTACTTTTATGATAAGGTAAAAAAATCAAATTCTAAATAAAATTAAGTATTATAAAAAACCATGGAAAAAATTTATTCGTAGTAATGACTTTTAACACGTTAACCGCTAACGATTATAAAGAAAATAAAATACATATTTTTCAGACGAAAATCAGCTAAAATTGTGTGTTACACGAAAATATATTTTTAAAAAGAGGATAATTTCCTGACAGTAGTAAATTTTTTTAGAAATAAATAAAAGTTCCTTGGTATGATCAGTCAAATTATATTTCAATTTAAATAGCACTAAGTATATATGTTTTGGAATAAATTCCATTTTCTGGTGCAGTCAAAGTTAAAATTACAAAAAAATCTTTCTGTTTCTGATTATGTAGGTATTAAAAGTTGAAGCACTTTAATATTGTATCTGTGGAGCCTCTTTTTATATCTCTGGCAATTTTTTTAGTTCATTGTGGAATTGATTCAATTTTAAATTCTGGAGACAGGGCTTTATTTACTCGGTTTTCTACTATTTTTAACCGACTTCAAAAAAGGAGGAGGTTCTCAATTCGTCGCGATATTTTTATTATTTTTTTTTATGTATGTTCAGCGATAATTCTTCAACACGGTGTTCGATTTCAATAATTCTTTTTTGTTAGAAAGGGGGTACTTCAGGGGTGATCCCATATAAATTTGGTCAAAATATATTAATTAGGTCTCTGAGAAAATCCTCAAACTCTTCATTTTTTATGTATGTTTAGCGATAATGCTTTACCACCTTGTCCGATCTATATGATTTTTTTTTGTTAGTAAAGGGATACCTCAGGGGTGGTCCCATATAAATTTGGTTAAGATGTGGTGACGACATCTGCACGTTTTTAAAGTCGGTTTTTTAAAATTTTTAATTTTTAATACTTGTTAGGCAATAATTGTAATATCTTTTTCTGCTACATCCCCATAATTTTAAGTCACTTGGCCCTGCTGACTTTAGAACTTGTCTGTAAACCAGTACTATGTTTTTAGTGGAAAGAGGAGAGTACCTTCGTATCAGCCAATACATGTTTCCATATTTAATCTGTAGCTGTTCAGTTTTTATTTTTACAGGCTCCTTCCATTTTAGCTTAGCGTCCATATCTAGATCCGGTATTTGTCAGTTTTTATATTTGGAATAATATTGTTTATGTATATTGGTGCATAATCTATTCCTTTTTTGTTTCGCCTATAGTTGATTCTATGGTGCTGAATCATAGGTTTATAATAAATAATAATACAAGAACATTTCCCTGTGGGACGCCGGCATATTTATATTGACTTGAGTTCAGGTATTCGTTTCCTATTTTAACTATAAATATTCACTGGGATAAATTTGGTTCTAGTAGTTAGACATATTTCAAAAGAAAAAATAGAAGCGAAATTGGTCTATATGATGTTATTTCATTATTATGTTGTCCAGGTTTGGATATCATTATTACCTAAGCACTTTTCCATAGTAGCGAAACATGTTAAAGCCTAAATGCTGGATTACTGCTCAGTTTTACTAGGCTTTTCGTGGTAGTTTCTTTACTGTCTCTTCTGAGATCAGATCAAACCTGGGAGCTTTTTTTACGTTGATGATATTTCTAGTTCTTTTTAAACTCCTTAAGGATTAGTAATATTTTTTCTCTTGCTTTTGGTTATTCATTTTAATTTTTTCTCTTGAGTTCAAGTGGAAAATACGTTCCTAATAATTGGTGAATGCATTAACTTTTTATGTGCAAGTTCTTGCTCAAATCTCTTTTCTGCTCTTCTTATTGAGGGTATGTGTTTTTTATTTTTACACTCCTCGGACCTGCTATCACCTTAATACTGTGGCTTTTTGCACCTTCACTTGAAGGTCATACTACTGTCCCATTCACCAATTCACTCTCTCATTTAACGTCATTCATTTCACGTCGTCGACTGTTAAAGGCTAGCTAAGTCCCATGGTAGAACGTTTCAACCATCACTCACCCACGACGTGACCGGACAGATGACGGCTTACCTGTTGCGAGAATGTAGATCCACACTAATCTCGCGGTTAGCCTCTCCGGCGAAGGTGTGTGTTTGTTTTTTGGCAGATTTCCTAATAAGAAATCAGTGAGGTCCCTCAGATAATTGTTGGTTAACATATTTTATTTTTTTTCTATTTCGCTTCGTAGTTTTTGTATAAGTCTATTTATTTTGTTTTGTTTTCTTCAGTTCTTATTCATCGTCACCCCTTTTGGGCCATTTATTTGTTTTGTATTAAATCCCTCATTTATTGGAGGTAATTAATACCTATAGTTTTCCTTTGGTGTATTATTTCATGCACCTTGTTAGATATTAACCATAAATATTTCTGTTTCTGTATCCATATTTTTCACCCGGATCCGGATTTACTACTAGACACACTATGTAATTGCCTAGGGCAAAAAACTCAAAGCGGCGCCGACTTTTTGGTATTACATGCTACCTAAGAACAGAAACAAAAAACTTTACTAGAATTTAATTTACATTGAGGGGGTATAAATATTAAAAAAAATCCTAACTCAAAAACGAAATGATATCAATTTAAAATTATTAGCAAAATTCAAGCTCTGTAAGGAAATAATGCCTATTGATTTTTAAAAAAGTCTGAATAAAAACAAGGAGTTAAGGGGGTTTAAAAAAAAACAATCAAACACGAAAAGCGATATCAACATGAAATTTTTAGTAATAATCAAGCTCTATAAGAAGATGAAGCCTACTGATTCTGAAAAAATCTGAATAAATTGAGAGTTATGGCTGGCAATTGCCCATGTTAATTCCCTGTATATGCAGAGGTTACTTTCGACGAAATTTTCGGGAAAAGTATACTTCGTAGCATTAATTTTAATATAGAAATCAGTTCATGAATTATGACTACGTGCTGTAAAAAAATTTAAAGAAACACGAGTTTTTAAAAATACTGAGAAAATGACTTTGATCCTTGGTTTCCAAATCACATAGAAACACTCGACTTGTCGACATATTTACTTTAAAACTAGACATATTTAGACGTTTTCTTTTCGTTACCACCCGTACAACTAACATATCAAATAAATGAAACAAATCACACTTCAAAATAATGTTTGGTTTTCCTGAAAGCTTGGTTTGAAATAAAAGCTAATTATTAATTGACTTAATCAGCTAGGGACAATGCAGATCAAAAGTGGCCTTTGTCCCTAACCAACGTTTTTAGGAATCTGTGCAGTAAGAAGTTAAAGAAAAATTCACAGATGGCGCTAGAGAACCTTTGTTATTTGTATTACTGTAACAGTGAAAGCAGAACGTGGCCGGAATAAATACATTTTTGAATTTAATTAAATAATTAGAAATATTATTAACAAATGTGTTCGTTGCCCTTAAAAAATATGTTTATTTGCGAATGAAATTTAACTTACTGGCATACTTTTGTAATTATTGATTTTAATTTTAAAAATAAATATCTACTGCTCTGTCTTTATACATAAAACAAAACTTTTTAAAAAGTTTATATATACGTTTTTCCTTGGGTACTTTTTAATATTTTGTTTTCACTAAAAAAACAAGTGAGAAAATCTTTATAGAGATGTCAATTTGAGATTTTAAGAAACGAGCTTCACGGAATCCATTTTTACCTTTCATATATACCTTCGTGCACACAAATTAAAAAACGAACCTTGTAAGGTAATGACTTATGTACAGGGTAAGACACCGGTAACGCCTCGGTATGTAGAGCCAAAACTTATTTTTTTTTAAAATTTGTTTTTACAGCGAGATGTATGTCCGAAAAGATAACAATTTAAAAATACTTTAATCATACAGGGTTCTGCAAAAAGTATAAGATTATACAGAGTATACGCTAATAATAATTTTATATGAAAATCGTATTAATCTCAATGGCATGTACACTGCAAACAATTGAAAACCAATCTTTTGTGGTAAAAGATTTTCGATATGTCTTAATTTTATGCCGATACACTAATTTTTTAACTCGAAACAAATCTTTAAAGGGTAAGTCAAAATTCAAATACAAACTTTTCTCATTTTTTGAAATTTAATTTTATATAAACAACAGTGCTGTTCCTAAAGTGGCGCTGGAAAACAGTAACAAAGCCTACACAGAACACGAGGCTAATACCCATAGCAGTTGATGCCGATGACACAAAAAAAGAACTTATTGTAAGCAGACAACAGTTCTAATAATGGAAAAAGTAAAATAGATTGTTTTGTATTTTTCAGGTAAGAACATACAACCCTTTGATTAAACAGGTAACAACTGCCTGAGATGAAGCTTCTTTAGCTCTTTCTACACCTGTTTATTAACAAAGTTGTACATACCTATAGAGTCACCTTCTTGATTGCCCTCGTAAAACAAAGCTCAAAAAATAATCCAAAACTTGGAAGCACAGAATAAAGTGGAGAATATTAAATTAAGGACATAAGAGCAAACTGTATGGAGACAACGGAAAGCCATTAAATCTTTAAAGAGAATAATGCTGGAAGTTAAGAAAAACAAATTGATTATGGAGGAAGAAGAAAATGTTGTTTTGGAAAATTTTGGAAATAACGAATATTTAGGAAAACCTTGGGTAGGACTGTATCTAAGACATTCATCAAAATCTTTTGCAATTACACTACATTTTATTTCCATTAATACAATATCATCAAACAAAATAAATGACTAGGTAAAAATTTGATAAATAAATAAAAATAATGTTAAATTGTAAAAATCCTAAAATCCATTTTAAAAAGACTTTGTTTCACTGAATTTTTGATCTAATAAAAATATTACACTTTCAGACAATATAAATATGATACACCACTGGTAAATATTAATGTCAAGTAGCCATCTTGCATAACCATCCCGGTTAACTGACCCTGGTGTAACCATCCTTCCTCACTACTTTATATTCTAAGGGTCATTCAGACTCTGAATATGCTGGGGTTATAGTGAAATGATGAACTGAATATAATTTTTTTTATTATTTACCTCGGCTCGCCACTGTGATTTATAAATCGAACAAAAGATTTTCCTTATCTCAGGGGTGTTTCAGATTTATTAATAACA